ATTACATTCACTGGCTGTACAAGCTGGCAGCCAAGTACACAGAAAAAAGCATCGGGATTATTGGGTCTCTAGCCTGAACTATAGACAAATCAATACACCTTAGTAATACTGTTATTTGTGCTACCTCTCTCACACTGAACAAATTGCTAGCCAGTTAGACTGAAGGAGGTCTCTTTGGGCATTGATGTGGTCTACTTTTCTGTAATATTCAGTCTGACTCTTTGCCTGCTCTTTTCTCACTTCTGGAGGAATCTGAGCACAGAGATCGATTCTTTTTGTTTCCTCTGGTCTTGGGCATTTTGGCATGGGCTTTTTCCACTGTTCTACCCACAGAGGAGTCTCACACCAGACCCCCAGTGCCTATCATTTTCCTGGGCCTCTCAGCTCCAAAGCCCTCCTCCAGCAGCTCATCCTCACTAGCTTACTTCTAAATCTTGCCAATAGGTGGCGTTAGAGAAAGGAGTCCTACTTTTCCAAGTCTCTTTCTTTGCACATAGCTGCAAGCCTTTCCCAGCGTTTCCAGAACCTTCTATGCCTTGAGTGGTCCTCACTAGTAGCTATGTCCCTTCTCCAGAGATAATATCACCACTTTGTCAGCATCCCTCCCTTGATCGTCTAACACTTGAGTCATGAATTCCTGTGTTAACTCTTACTCATTTGAAATTCCTGTGTGTTTTTCTGTTTTCTAGACTGTATCCTGCCTAATAAAAAGTTGTCAAAATGTCCACTATTCTCCCAATCTGCAGGCATCTAATTCTTCAGAATGTAGCTCATTAAGCACTCCCCAAGATACTATACTTTGAAGAACACATTTTATGGTACTGTTACGGTAGAAACACTAGTCAGTGACTACTGTGTTGATCCCACACTGCCCCACAGGATGAGCAGACTGACCGCTTTCACAGGGAAGGGTGTGAGTGGAAGGTGGCTATTGTACAATCCTAACACAAGAGTTTTAATTTCCTTTAGTAGCCCACCGTTGGTCACCCTCATGAATAAGATCATATACTATTAAGTAGTACCATGCACAATAAATATGTTCCCAGAACATGGCAGAATGACAAAATAAATTAGCATGTACATACATGTATGTGAACACACGTCATTTTGAAATTATTTACTGTACTATATTTTCTATTCCAGAAATCACATATATTTGCTCTTTTCATAACATATATAAAATCAACAAATAAAAGTAATTAGAAAACAACAATCCCTCCCAAACAGGAATATTTATATCTCTTGCAACTCCATTCTCCTTCAGAATGCTTGGGCAATGGGACTCCATGTCATCATCATGAGATTCCAAACCAAGACTTGACACAATTAGTGACTTGCCTGGTGTACATGGGTAGCATGTGGCAGCTGGGCAGACTTCACTTTCTGTTACTGTGCATCCACCATCTCCTGACTCTGAGCCCTACTCTGCAGGCCTCCGAGGTACACCTCCTTGAAGGAATGCAGCTGCCCCTTACAACCTGACACAGGGCACCCGGCCTCTGGTTGAGTAAGTTAGGACTCTGTGAGTTTTGCTTTCCCTTCTTTGACTCTCCCCTCCCCTAAAAAAGAAAGTTATTTTCAAACCTCCATCTGTTTTGTGTTTAACGTGCAGAAAGGTTGCACATTTTCAGGGACCTTGTTCATAAGCAGTAGATTGTACAACAGTTTATTACACAAGTGGAGGTTTTTATTGCTGGCCTTTGTTGAGCTGCCAACTGGGAGAGAGAACATAACGTGCTTAGCGGTCCCTATCAGAAGAAACGAGAAAGCATTAAATACCAGTCAAATCGTCAAGCATTGGAAAGCTGGGAATCAAATCCAGAAATTCTGGAGCTCAGCTGACGAAGATGATTTTTCTGGTTAATATTATTTTATATCCATAATTGTTTCAAAAGTCATTTAGGTCACATACAAGATCCCCAGATAACATGTGAGCTGTATATCAAAGGCCAAATAAATGTTTGATCAAGAAAGACCCAACATGACTTCAAGATCCTGATCAGTGCAGGGCATCAAACTGTAATTCTATGAAGAGCTTTGTATATGTGAGTGTGTGTGCGTGTGTGTGTGTGTGTGTGTGTGTGTGTGTGTTTCACATTCTGTTATTGAGGCCATCAGCTATGTAAATACATGCTCATGACATGGTAAACCTCTTCCTTTACTCTGGCCTATGTAGTCTGTACTCCTAAAAGGGAATATATTTTACTACTAGCTTATGCCACAATTAGAAAATACCCTCAAAAAATCCTAGAGAAAATGGTATCAGAACAATTCCAATTATCAAGGCCAATGCCAGTGGTAATAGCTTAACTTTGTATCTTCATTTTTATTTTGCAAAAAGAGCATCACATAGAAGCTACTGGAGACCCCAGAAATATCTGATAATTAAATATTTCTCAGCCCAGATTCTATATCAGATTAATGACATAAAATCTCTTGGAATAGACAAGTATATTTGAATGTTCTAAAAGTGATTCTAATTCATTTCCTGGGATTGAGAGTCTCAGATCTAAACTGATTGGCTAATTTTACTAGTAGAGGACATTGAACCTAGAGAAGTTACTCCCCACAATAATCAATTCACAACACATTATTTCTTTTCTAGGGGAGTGTTTTCACCCTAGTATTGTGCAACTTTGTAACTAACTCCATGGCCTCAATATCCTAACCTTCATTTACAAATGAAACACATTAGAACCTAACTCAATTTTCTCCTTGCCTACTATGTTCACATATAAACAATATGTGACTTGTATTAGCACCAGCAGCCCCAGTGTCCCCAGGAATACAAAGGATGTTGTTAGGCTGCAGGAGACCATTAGGCTAATCAAAAGACCCACTTCCTCCTCTGGATGGTTCATGGTGAAAGGAGTCAGGAAGTGGCTCTTAATTAAGAAGAATATTCTACTTTATTCATTATCAGTCCATGATTAGAATCTCCATCTGTTAAACAAAAAAATCTAACATATGCCTGGCTACTTACATACATATTAACTTCTTGCTCATCACTTGCCATAGTGTTATAAGTTGGAAACTACTTTGTATGTTTAGCATTTCATAACAAAAGAAGGAGCTGCAGGTCCCAAGCACGAAGCTAGGCTTAATGTCCTACAAATACAAATCTTTGATTTATGACCAGAAGCTTCCCTAAATGTTAAGTTGAACACTAACTGTATGCCCATCTAACTCTAAATTCGCCCCTCCAAAAGTAGCCTTCAGTCCCTGAAACCAAAAGTGTTCAGCTGTCACTGAAAGATCCTTTTCAGAGTGAGAATCCCAAGCCTTCCCAGCCCATCAGCCACATGCTAATAGTGCTGGTGCTGTGAGTCCCATAAACAGTGTCCTTGATCTGATGGACAGCCAGTACTCAGGGGGACATTGGTCAGTAGCCTTGGACTCCTCAGTCTAATCACCCTACTTTAATGCTGCTTAAATCAGAATGTAAGCACTGAAGGAATTTCAGGAATCTGATGATATAAATTGTATTTTTAGACCCGTGAATGACTTGAGCCAGTGAAACGGTGCAGTGACTAAAGATAGCTCTCTTTAGTTTTCCCATGATTTATCACAAGCAAGTTCACAGCAGGTTAAAATACTTGAATGCTGTGATAGCATACACGCTGGCATGGCTTTATGAGCAGCCATTCATAACATATTTCTGCCTTCAACTGCTTTACTTCCAAAAAATGGTAGAAGGTTTTTTTTTTTTTTTTTTTTTTTTTTTTCATCAGTAAAACTTCTGAATAACTCCTTTGTGAAGGCTGGCTATATTTTCAATGTTGGACCCCAAGCTAGAGTTTCAGGAAAAGGCACCCAGGAAATGATCATTGCACCAAGTAAAATGTAAGTATATCCCGACAAAATGCTTACTTTTATTGGTAGAAATAGAGAAATGTTCTTTATAGGGATGTTTACAACTCAGGGGGCTGTGCCTTATAGATTCTATTTCTTTTCCTTCACTGTTTATTTTCCATTTGTCTCTTCAGGCACTTTTTCTTCTACTTAATAGCTGTGTCCCCTGGGCAAGTAATTTTTCCACTCTGTAATCAAATGATAGAATGTGGAGAAAATATAAAAAATGACTCTACAGTAATATTGCACACAATAAAGAGAGTGAATGTGTGGGTACACATGGGTCCCAAACTTGGCTATATGGGAAATGCAACTTCCTTTATTTCTCCATAACTTTAACTTTATTTCTACATTGAGTTTCCATTTGGCTTAGTGATGAAGATGTAATCTTAGTCAAATCAGGGTGTCCTCATCTAAGGCAAAGGGAAGACACGGCACCTCCCGGATTTCCCACTCTCAGCCTCTCAGCCCTGTCTGAAGGGTCCACGGTTGTCCCACTCAGAGCTGCAGAGCTGCAGAGCAGGTAGTAAATGCTCACCAGATCCTGTCCCAGGGTCTCCACCACCATGTCGGTTTTCTTGGATTCTCTGACTCCCTTTCTTCTCTAATATGAAGACTTTTCTGGTCTGGAGAAAAAGCATTCCTAGCTTTTCATCTGATCTTTGAGATCTTCAATTTATGACCAGCACCTGGTATTTGATCCTCAAGAGCTAAGAAACATGTGTCCTCTGTTATCTTCATTTTGATGGCTTTCCCTTCCCTGAAGCTTTACAGAAGGCCTAGCTGCTTAATGGGGGAAAACAGAGGAAAAACCAGAGATAACATACAAGCATGTATTGCAGAATTTCTCAGTGTATACATAATGCACCAAGAAGGCTTGGCACATGGTTGGAGTCTGCAAAGGTGCCCCTACCTTATACAAAATTTCAAGGTCGAGCTCCATACTTACTGGTTCTGTGTCCCAAGTTGCTTAACTTTTTTATACCTCAGTTTCCCCATCTGTAAAATGGGAATTATAGTTGTATGTATCTCATAAGGTCATATGCTTATTAAGTGCACAATGGAATTACACAATTATCACCACAAGTACAAGTACACATTTATAGCCATTAAATTCATTGGTCTAAAACCATTAGTTGAGCTGATATGGTTGTCATAATGCATCGTAAATAAAGAGGAAGGTAAACTTAACACATCTAGCATTTCCTAGTGAAGGAAAGAGCCGCTGGTCCCAAGTATGAGGCTAGGCTTAATTTCCTATAAATGTAAACTTCGGATAGACTAATCCTGATGGGGGTTTAAAAAGGAATTAGCCAATGTAAATCAAGGTAGCTCTGAGATACTTTCATGTACCAGCAGATTCTTGAATAGTTACAGTCTAAATTTGAAGATAGATCCACGCTTGCAGTGTGGGGTGCAAGAAGGTCCGGCCAAGCTAGACTGAGAAAAGTGCCTAACGACCATTGCTAGCAGCTTCTGGAGAAGAGAGCATGCAGGGGGCTGCTCATGAGGTAGGAGGCCAGCAGCAGATTTTGCTGAGGGAAGTCCTGCCTAGGAGAGCAAGAAAAGAAAGGGTCACTGAGGGGGAAACAGTGGTCCTCCTGTGCCTAGCCTACAAGACTCTCATCCTCTAGCCTAGCGAACTGATGAACAGGAGAAGGAGAGTGTAAAGTCCTTCACCCTGGTATCTGTCATTCTTCTCTGAGCCAGCTTGGTCAGTGTCCTCTCAGCCCACAGTCAGTCAGGATGAGCAAGTCAGGAGACTCCTGACCCAGCCAGTGGAAAACTAGCCTGTGATCCGTGCCAAATGTCTTCATCCTTCTAGATCTTAGGACCTTCAGAGAGGAGGTGGGGCTGAATAAGAGCAACTGGGTTGCTGTGTGGTGGAGTTAGAGGTGTGGAAGCCAGAGGGATAGCCAGACAAGTGCAGTTTTGCTATTTGTCAGAAGTGTGAATTTATTTTATCTCTCTAAGCTCCAGTTCTGTCATGTATGAAGATGGGATAACTAGAGCACTTCCCTCGAGTGATTATTGTCAGTTCAAGAGTGTATAGGACATATGTAGCACTACTGTGAAACACTGTAAGCACTCAACTGTCGCCAATATCACTCTAGTGATTATCAGCTTAGGGGCTACTAGGTGGGCTGAGAGTGAGGCTCGAGTACAGATACTTCCTCATCAAGAAGAGCAACCTTGTTTATTATAGATAGATAGATAGATAGATAGGCTAGGATAAAAATAGTAAACAATAAGTATTGTAACACAAAATTCTCATCTGTTTATATTTAATGTCTCAGTGATATAATGTAATGAAGATTTATTTCTTGTACAATAATAAGGAGAAATATACATATATATTCTATTGTTGATATATACATATACATAAAATCTATTCCAGATAGATAGATAGATTAGATAGATAGATAGATAGATAGATAGATAGATAGATAGATAGATGATAGATAGACAGATATCTAGCATACATGAGACTCTGGGCTTTCTGGGACCAACAACACAAAATCAACCAGTCAATCACCAGACCAGAACAATAGCTGCTAAACCTTTTCGTAAAGAATCATATAGAAAACATTTTGCACTTTGTGGGCCACATGTGGTCACCACTGAATACTTTTCTGGTGTAATTTAGAATTGAGTGTTGGGATTCAAAAAAACAAAGAGTCATAATTGAGTTTAGATAAAGACATAGTAACTTTTAGGCTAGGATAGTAATAATAATAGATAAGTATCATAACACAAAACTCTCATCTGTTTAGGTTTAATATCTTTATGATGTAATATGATTAAGATTTATTTCCTGTTTAATAGTAAAATGTAGGTTGGAAATTGAGGGTTTGGTCCACATAGTTTTCTGGCCATCTAGAAATCCTTTCATTCAATGAGTCTTTCATCTTCTAATTCTGTGGAGACATGTTCAGGATGGAAGGAAAAGAGAGCTGGACCACATTCAAGAACCCACAAAAAGTAGAAGCTACAGTCTGAGAAGATGAGACAGGAGGATCACAAATTTGAGCACAGGGGCCGGGGAGATGGCTTCTTAGGATAAGCACTTGACTGGCAAGCATAAGGGTCAGAGTTCAATCCCTGGTTCCGAAAACAAACAAACAAACAAGTTTGAGCACAGCCTGGGGAACTTAATGGCAGGATGATTCCCTGTCTTAAAATTTTAAAAAAGAAAAATAAAGGCTACAGGTGTAGCTTAGTGCAAAGGCTTGAGCCTCAATTCCACAGTACAGAGAAGAGGAAAGAGAAGAGGAGGGGAGGAGAGGTGCAGGAGAAGGGGAGAGGAAGAAGAGGAGAGAAGAGAAGACAAGAGAAAAGATAAAAGTAGAAACTTTTCATAAGCTTAGGGGCTGTCCAATGACAGATGTGAGTTCGTCATGGCCTCCCGGCCACAGCTTGTCCACTCCTGGATAAAACCATCTCATATTCCTATAACAAAATTCTCATGATAAATCTTTTTGTTTTTCCATCAGAGTAGCCTAGCGTCCCCCATAATATCTTGTATCTTTCATGTGATAGTATTTTTCATGTTTATAACAGTTGTCAGATTAAGTGTTTTGGTTAAATTTTATGTGTAATCCTACACAGAGTCCGTTTGTGGGCAGTTTTCGTGAAGGTGGTAGATGTGTTTCCTGAGGCTGCTAGAGTGGGTGGTTTCAAAGGGTAGAAATTTATTCTCTCAGACTGGAGGCTAGAAGTCTGCAATCAGCATGCAGCATCAGTTCTTTCAGAGGGAAAAGCAGGTCTGTGCTTTCCTGCAGCCTCCGCTGAGGGTCAGCAGGCCTTGGTGCTCCTTGGCTATGGGCACACCACTCCACTCTCTGGGTCCACCTTCACACTGCCTTCTTCATCTGTTTGTGTTTTTACAAGGCTGGCTCCTGACTGAATTAGAACCCTCTATACTGACCACATTGGAACTGGATTAAATCTCCAAAATCCCTATTTCCATATAAGGTTCCACTTGTAGATACTGGAGAGTAGGACTTCAACCTACCTTTTGGAGGCACAACGCTTGGCTATCTAATTTGTATCTTAATTAGAAAATATTGAGAACTTTTGGGCCACCCCAGTTTGTAGCTGAGGTGAAAAAGTCAGAAGAGGTACGCAAGTACTTACTTCTTAGCATTCATTATAAATTATAGGGAGGATAATAACATTGTTGCTGTTAACCTAAAAAGTGTAGAATTTTCCTTTTAAAATATTTTTTGTGGACATAGAACAATGAGCTAGGAAACACTGCACATTCTGTACCCTTCTTCTATTTTCAATTTACAAATGCTATCTTCAAAATAACAGAACAGTGTGGCTTGTGGTTACTAACAAAATTAAAAGTAAAAGCAAAAAAAATGCCCCCATAATATACATAGCACCCTGTGAGGGAAACACAGCCTGCTGCCCTGAACAAGGAATGGAGAATTTGGTGAATTCTCACCCCTTCTGCAGGGGTCAGGAGTTGAAAATCAGTACCAGCTGGTTGTAATTCTGTCCTATTTTGAAACAGATGACTTACACTGCAAAGCCATCACTGGGACTCAGATTTATTTTTCCCTACTTGGTCTAGGTTTCAGAAGCCCAGTTTTCAAAATAAAGAAAAGGAGCAAAATATTCTTTTGGTGATCTCACCCAAGTTCTGCCAGTAGAAAACCTACCAACATTGCACCATTTGTGTAAGTGACTTGAACCGGGCTGTATCTTCTCCTGTGTCCCAAAACAGGACTTCTTTATCTCTTTCCCAACATTGTCTCTGTACCTCTTTGGTCACACTTGCTGCAGTTTGCCATATGCATGGGTCTTATCTCTCTTACTAAAGTGTAAGCTCTTTAAATCTTAGTCTTGGGACTCACGGCAGAGGGGAAGAAGCAAATGGAAAGAAGAAGCCAATGGGGAGAGAAACTTGAAATGCAGACAAACAAATGAGAAACACAGGGGTGAATTCTTTAGGGCAGAGGGGCAGACTGAAATGACATCTG